GTTGACTGGGCCGACTGGGGGGTGAGATCGAAAGTAAAGTCCTTTCTTATTGCAGCCAACCAAGCAATCCGCCGTCTCCTCGTCAGGTCGGAGACTCTCCCTGATGCTGTGTCCATTTCGGTAACCTAAAAAACTGTATTCCATTGTTCCTATGTTTTCCATTTGTATCGTGTGAGGTACTGGAGCAGTTTTTAATGCAGGAGTGACTTCCAGACATGGTAAAACAGTGCGGAATTAAGATAACCTCCTCTACTACCAAGCTAACAACACACGTAAACAATCCAGTTTTGCCGCGGGATATCCTACTAGCATGGCATAGAGTGGAGGGGCTCTGTACAATGACGACAACTCCTCACTCTCAATGATAATTTAGATTCTGCCAATATGTGACCTAATATAATTTACTAGAAAAACATCATTCAGGTCTTTTTAACCCCAGGTTTGCATAAGTGTAATGGCAAGTGTAATACTTTTCTTTAATATTTTTGAGGCCTGTTGTAGGCAAGGGAGGGTACTGCCAAGCTTAAAGGGGTTGTGAACTGGCTTTTTAAATTTTATTATATTGTTGTCTGAGGTCAACTTTGTTTTTGCATTCAAAAACATCAAAATGAATAAGTAATAGGCTATTTTGTACCCAAGTTGTGAGCCTACCTGAAAAACGGTCGGTTTTTATGGGCGTGTCGCACTGAAGACTTGGAAGTAAACACCCACTGCTGCGAGTGGAGAACAGTTTTGCATATTATAATGAGTTTAACTCACCCGTCGGTGTACGTGGGGGAAAACGTCTGATATTGTAAAATGACAACCGGATTCGCCCATACATGTTCGACCCAGAGTCCGTGTGTTGCACAATATTCCTGTCAGATCCAATATAGACGGCACAGCACCGTTCTTTACTCTTAATCGGTCTGCAAATCCAGTCTTGTTTACAAAACAATCCTCAGTGAAATGAAGCGAACAGACGACGATGTTTTACCTCATCAGCTGGAACGTCATTAAAAATAAATTTTATCCATGCAGTCCTATTGGAATCCAGAGGAAGCTTATGCAGCGACTGTCTTCTTCCACAACCAGGCACTGCACAATATTCTGTATCGCTCGGTAGCTCGATCCGGTTTGTCATCACGAGGTAGGCATGTATGTTACTTAGCTATGCGTGTAATGCGTGAATCGGTGGGCGGGGCTAAACCGGCCGTGTTAAAAGCTCAAGGAAAATTTGATTTCTCAGTTCATCACCCCTTTAACAACTCAACCCCATCATATAAAAATTAAGATGGAAAATGCTTTTTTAATGCTGATCATTGATTCTACAATATATGGTGTGAAAACGTCTTAGTGCTGCCCTCTTCAGGTTGAACGGTGGCTACTGCAGTTGAATTCTTTGTGACGGACGCAGGTTTCAGCTTCGAGCTACAGCTACCACGCCCTCAGTAGTATAAAAGTCAACTTGTTTCGTTAAAACCACTGCGAGTCAAGAGTTGGAATTACGAGTTTTGAAAACGATCAGGATAGAGTATTGTAGCATCTATTTAGCATAGCATTTATATAGTTATTTAGATTATTTTGTGTAGCCTAGTTAGTTAGCAGCATAGTACAGTTAGGATAGCTTCAAGTTAGCATAGATTTATCTGTGTTTAGCGGTAATGGGATAGAGGTGGACATGGGCTTCTCCACACAGCTCCACACGCAGTGCCAAACACTGCTCGTCCTGCATGGACTCCTCCACCGCAGCGGCGTCTTGATGTGAGTGATCATGGATATTTTAAGCACAATTTATGGTTAGGCTAAAGTTAATCCTCTGGGGTTAAGAAACGTGCCGGCGCATTTTGCTGGACTTTTTCACATAGCGGCAAAATATCAATATGAATATATGCCTACAGAGAGCGCGCTATTGACATCAACTGACACGAATACAAGCGACGATTATTTGACGATTATCAAGCGACGCGAATACTTTTTGTGCGAAAAAACAAACAAAAATAACGAGTTTATTCGACTATTCCTTTTCTTCCTTGTAGGCCAGAACGAGACTTCCTTATAGATTTCCACGACGCATGCGCGAGAATTGCGATCTGCTCACACCAGCTTACACTACTTCAGATCGCAATTCTCGCGCATGCGTCGTGGAAATCTAAGGAAGTCTCGTTCTGGCCTACAAGGAAGAAAAGGAATAGTCGAATAAACTCGTTATTTTTGTTTGTTTTTTCGCACAAAAAGTATTCGCGTCGCTTGATAAACATATAGTTGAGCCACGGTAGTCACTTGGGATATTTAAACATTTTCTTCATTGACTTTCTGGGCCGTCAAGAGCCAGTCCCTTAGGAGCCAATGTGGTAGTTATACAGCTCTCAAATTTAATCAAAAATATCTTCATTTGTGTTCCGAAGACGAACGAAGGTCTTACGGGGTTGGTACAGCATGGGGGTGAGTAATTAATGACTTAATTTTCATTTTTGGGTGAACTAACCCTTTAAAAAGTCTTAAAACGTCTTAAATAAAATTCTCGCTTTTTAAGGCCTGAAAATGTCTTAAAATCTGACATTTCCGATAAGGAGGTCTTAAATTTCACGCACCTTAAATTTCTTGTCCGACTCGTCATCCGTTTTTTTGTTTTGTTAACAGACTGTGTTTACGGGCATTCATGCTTGGTTGCCAGATTTAAATAATTAAATCCCCAGTCAGAGCTTTTCTGTTAAAAGAAAACGTTTTCTACCCGGTTTTGTTAATAGTATCTGGCAACCATGCTCTACACTGCTGAAGAAGCGCCGATGATCTGAAAAAAGACAAGTATCTGGAGTTCAGTGATATTCATTTGAGATTATCTACTTGAATTAATTAAAGTGTCATTCAGTTGGTCTTTATTCTGTCACGAGCTGTTTGTGCGACTAAATCTGCGATCAATACAGGCTAATATCCAGCAGTGTTTTTAATGTTGATCATATTATTGCATATTATTGCTGTTTTGCAACGAAAGCCACTGCAGAACTGCAGCAAACAGTGGTGATTCAAATTTGTGAGATTCAATGACCCGTTCATAAATACAGACACTTGCTTTGTTACCATGTTTGTTACTGATGAATGAATGACTCGATGACGGATGACTTGCTCATAAAGACAGTGACTTACCGCCACCTACTGGCGATTTTAATTTAATGTTTAAAGGTATCACCTCGTTTTTACCATCATTATTGAACATTGTTTTATTTAAAGCATTATTTATTTTACGAAAGTATTTATACAGGTAAAAAAAAATGAATGGAAAAAAATCGATTAAAGGGGGCAGATATTGTCCCTAAATGGAAAAGTTGTGACGGCAGTCTGAGTGCAAGAGGGCTATGGCATTCTAAAAAATTGGAGAACCACTGAACTAAGAAACAGGGATATGTAGAATTGCACAAGTACTACTGCTAAAGAGTGCATTTTCAATACAGCCTGTTTCCTTGATTCAAATGTCTCATAAGCTAAATTGAATTGGCCTAAAGTGAAAAATTATAATGTCATTTTTTTCTCTAAAGACTACATATAAAATAGCTACCAAAATTAATGTCGGTAACTGAAGTTTGACTAAAAGTAATTACTAAAAGTTGACAAAAAATGCAATGGCTTTGTCAACTAAAACTAGATTAAAACTGTGAAAGACAAAATTACTGACTAAAATGTGACTAAGACCAATAAGAATTTTCATTTGAAGACTTAGACTAAAACAAAAATGGCTGCCAAAATTATTAAATTGTCGTGTCGTGCTGATTATTTTCCTTTTTTTTTTTTTTTTTTTTTTTGTCGTGGTAAAGTCTTAAATTTGCCGTTTAGAGGACTTAAAAAGGTCTTAAAAGTCATTAAGCTAAACTTTTTTGACCCTTCCTCTTAAAAGAATCGGAATCGAGAATCGTTAGGAACCGGAATCGAAACAAGGAATCGGAATCGGAATCAGAATCGTTCAAATTCAAACGATACCCAACCCTACCTAACACTACCCCATACCTAAACTTAACGATAACCGAAGCGTCTCATTTGACGCTAAAGGGTGTCATGTGCGCTCGATGTTTATGCTTTCGCAAAAGTGTCATATATGACCCCTTGGGATGAGAATGTTGACAATATCGACCCTGGGAAAAACCTATATTGCTCCGTGACTCGCTTTGGCCAGGTGGTATTTATAGCAGAGGGGGCGGAGCTTATATAAAGAGATGACAGACAATTGTCTATTTTTAACTTTACTCCCAATAAAAATTTGAAAAGTATCATAAATGTTACATTTATTAAGTTGTTTTGAGGGACACATGAATTTCACCAAATTCAAGCCAACATTTGCGAACAAAATGGATCGCAACATAATAATGTTTCCATCCGCGTTTATCGCAGAAGCCGTATATCGATCAAGATAAAATCCGATGAGACCGATCGTATTTCATTTGAGTTGATATTCATGAAATTCAATCGAATTTTACTGTTTCCATATTGCATTTTTTTTATTTGATATCACTTAATATGGATAAAAACGTGTGGATGGAAACATAGCTAGTGTTTATGCAGGACAGTTATTAATCAAACATCGTTCCCTAGACAGATGACTTTGGATTAGAGGCAGAAATGTGGATTATATTGTTAATAAATAATATTTTAAATAATGTTTTAATATTTTAAAGCTTTAAATAATGTTGGGAAATTATCTTATAAATGGGTGATTTAAAAACAAATATATTTTCTTTACAACAATATAAATCTAAAATTATATAATAAAAAGGAATTAGAACAATGTGTTTTGACAGGATAACATGGATTCGGATTTCTCTACATGGATTTCTCAAAATGTAAGAGGATTTTAGGCGTGTATCAGGCCGTGAATCGTGGGCTGATAGAATGAAACTAAAACCAATTATTCAACAATAATAAGAGCAATACTAGACTATGGATGTGTGGTTTATGATCAGATTTTCTTTCAGTTTCGATATCACGTCATGACTCATGCTGCAGCACGGATTGGCGTGGTTTAATTTCTCAATGGCGCAGAACTGCAGAAGGAGAAGCTCCACACACACTTAGGCTATTGATGCTTATCCAATTTCTCTCTAATTTTCCTAATTGTGATTTAGACAAACTTGAACAGCTCGACTCCTGGTGAGTTTGCGTTTCCTGCTGCAACGTGTTTTTTGCAGATGTGTTGATACATTGATAAGGACTGATAAACATATGAGATTGTTGAATGTATTTATTGTTGTTTTAGGAAGTAGCCTATTTTCCTGCGCTGTGATCTTTACAGTAATCGATACACTAATGGCGACGGGGTCTGACACTCCTCCCGGTAAGAGAATATCCCACAGGATTTATTAATGTAAAAACAGCGGAGCTCCTAATGAGACGCGTGATGAGGGGGAAATATGACTTGGAAAACGTATTAGGTATTCCAAATGTATTAAACGTATTAATATACGTAAAACGTATTAGGTAAAGCCACACCCTAAGAAAAGCGTGCTTGTCTCTCTCACTGCGTTCAAGCCAGCCACAGAAAAAGCGCGTGCACAGCAGAGAGAGAGACAAACACCTAATATAGAAAGCTTTATCTTTGACTCAGCTAACAGAGTTTTGTTATAAGATCGTTTTCCGAATATTCAGTGTTGGTTCTGGGAACATAAAAAATGTCCAGTTTTCTTGACGTCAATATTCCTCAAACGTTCTTTTCAACTTTATTCCAACAACATAAATACTAGAATGTTATTTCTATTATGTATCTAGTATATTGTATTTAACCCTGTGAGACACAAATATATATATATATATATAAAAAACTTAAGATTTATAATCAAATATAAATATTGAATACAAAACATATTGAAAACTGTGTTCAGTGTTCACTAGCAATGGTAGTCCCAAAAGCAGTTCTTGAGATTGCACGTACTTCCTGCAGAGCGTATTCGAATATCCCTCTTTTTGCAGTATCTGCAGCGTCCTCTCATTCTGAAATTTAAATAATAGTTGTCAGAGTTAGAGTATGTTCAACATATTTATGTGATACATTTCACTGAAGTCACACAATTCTAAAAGGAATTTAAACCCCCAGACCAGCCCCTTTTTATCAGGTGACGTCGGTGACGTCATGAAGTGCAGACCTATAGTGCCCTTAGCGCGAGTCTTCGAGGGCGCATTGAGAGGTATTTTTGGGACAGACTCGATCGTCACGCCGGAAACAGGAAGACGGTCTGGCAGTATACCAAAACAGGATTTATTTTATTTTCCCATATCTTATGTCCATGTGAACTACGCAGCCTGCTTTTAAAGTTCTATAATTGCATATGCCACCTGGACATTACAATAGATGTCATGGTTATGTAAATGATAAAAAAAAGTTGTACATAATAATATATAATGTTCAATTTTAACACAAAATGAAAATTAGTTTAAGAAAAATGTAGGTTTCAATATTCATTATACGTTTATGACTCAGTAAAGCCAATACATTCGGTTCTATTTATGTAATAAATCATATAATGCGATCATATTATTTAAAACGCTTTTATTATGTTTGACATATCAACCACTGGTCTCTAAAGGTCGAATAGACTGTAAGTAACGACTGGTAAAATGTACGCCTACACTCAAAAAAATGATTTCAATTTCATTAATTAAAATGAGCATATACGACCCAATCCTTCATAGAAGTGATTGCAGCTTAATTTCATTAAACGTAATCAATGTAATCTTTTAAAAATTTGGTTTACCAATTTTTTTTTAATTGAGTCAACATGAATATTTTTCGTTCGTCTTAAACGGATGTCACTCAAAAAATGAATTTTGGCCTGTTGTTAAAATAATTAATTCAAAATAAGCAAAAGTAACATGATCGTTTAATATTGTCACAACTTAATTTAATCGTGTTCAATCAACCTAATTCATTTGTGTGAAACCTACGTGAATCATTGTTGTTGACATCTAACTGGGCAGTGGATCTGTAGTTCCCAGCATGCTTTGCAAGGGACTGCATTAAGAGGGTCAATTTATGGAAAAAGTGTCATTTTATGTGTTTTTCAGTAAATGGAAAGATGTTGTTAGTTAATGTTAGTGTTTTATGTTCAGTTATGTTAGAAACTTAGAGTACTTTCGGCAATGTTTTTGAATTTTGTGGTTACCATTATGCAGAAGAGTGGTGACTGTGTTTAGGTCAGTATTGTGTAAACCTCACTCACAGTCCTGCACAAGTAATATTATATTACTATGTAAAAAATAGTTTAAAAGAGTGTATCATTAAATTGACCATAGAGTCAAATAACTCAAATTATAATGTTTGTGAATTAAGGCAGGACAACACTAAATGTAGTTAACCTGACAAAATTTTATCCAGTAGGAATGACCAAATAAATTTAAATTCATACAACAAGATTACAACTAATTATTTCAATTCAAACTAATTTGAATTTGTTGGAAAAAAGTAATTTAATTTTGTGGAAAACCTTTCCTTAATTTAATTAGTTTGTTCAACAGATTATTTTTTGAGTGTGACACAAAATGACACTTACACCTTTAATATTCCATCTTTACAGTCCGTGAGCGAAATCTCCTCCCATCTGTTGTCTGATTGGCCTTTCGCAAGGATTCCTGGGTAGTTAAAGTGCGTGGAGCCTGCATCTATGGGGCTTCGTGGAAGACCGCTTCAAGGGTACAAAGGGGGCGCTGCTGAGCACACTTCAGAGCGTTAAAATGCCAAATGGGACAGCCTACGGACTCGTAGACTCGGCGAGCATGCGCAATTTAAGTCCATGAGACCGCAAGTCCGCGATTTGGGACAGGGCCTAAAGTTACTTAATTGATACAAGATATGTTAATTAACTTATTTTATATACTAGTTCTGTCTTATCTTTGTCATTTTAAGTCATCTCGAGGCCCACTGAGTAAAGGGCCCCTATTGAGCAATGACAAAATGCTAAGTTATTATAATTCTTAAACCTCTCTCTTTAACAGATCTGAGGATTGTGCTGTTGGGTAAAACTGGATCAGGAAAGAGTTCAACGGGAAACACCATCATCGGCGACTGTAAGTTTAATGAAGGTGTGTCCCCTGAGTCTGTTACTAGACACTGTCAAAGACATGTGACTAAAGTGGAGGATAAAACCATCTCAGTGATCGACACTCCAGGACTATATGATACGGAAATGAGTGAAGAAGAACTGAAGAAAGAGATCGAGAAGTGCATCTACATGACTGCTCCTGGTCCTCATGTGTTTCTGCTGGTCATCAGAGTGGGCGTGAGATTCACAAAAGAAGAGAAGAAAACAGTGAAATGGATCCAGAAACACTTTGGAGAAAAAGCTTCTCATCACACCATCATTCTGTTCACTCACGCTGATCTGAAGAAGCTTTCATTAGAAGAATATATCAGTAAAAGTAATGATCTCAAGGCTATCGTTAATGAGTGCGGTGGCAGATTTCACTCATTCAACAATGAAGACAAGAGTAATCGCTCTCAGGTCACAGAACTGCTGCAGAAGATTGATGAAATGGTAAGGATCAATGGAGGACAGCACTACACCAATGAGAGATTTCAAGAAGCCCAGAGACGGATTGAACAAAAACTGAAAGACAATATGCAAACAGCACTAACAGCGACAGGAGGTGGGGTAGTGGTAGTAGGAGCAGCAGTGGGAGGGGCAGCAGTAGGAGCGGCATTAGTACTAGTAGGAGTAGGATTAGGATTGCTAGTAGGAGGATCAGCAGCCGGAGTGTTTGTAGGAGGAGTATCAGCAGTAGGACTGGTAGTAGGAGGAGCGGGAGCAGGGGTAGGAGGAGGGGGAACAGTAGTACTAGTAGGAGTGGGAATAGGTATGTTAATAGGAGTATCAGCAGCAGGAGTGATAGTTGGAGGAGGAGCAGCAGTAGGACTGGTAGTAGGAGGAGCGGCAGCAGCAGTAAGAGCAGCAGTAGGAGGGGTAGGAGGAGGAGGAGCAGTAGTACTAGTAGGAGTAGTATTAGGATTGTTAGTAGGAGTATCAGCAGCAGGAGTGATAGTTGGAGGAGGAGCCGCAGTAGGACTGGTAGTAGGAGGAGCGGCAGCAGCAGTAAGAGCAGCAGTAGGAGGACGAGGAGCAGTAGGGGCAGCAGTAGGATGGGCAGCAGTAGGAGGGGTAGTAGTAGGAGTGGCAACAGTAGGAGCTGTAGCAGTAGGAGGGGAAGTAGGAGGAGGAGCATTAGCAACAGCAGTAGGATGGGCAGTAGTAGGAGGGGTAGCCGTAGGAGTGGCAGTAGTAGGAGTGGCAGCAGTAAGAGCAGCAGTGGTAGGGGAAGTAGGAGGAGAAGCAGCAGCAGTAGGAGAGGGAGTAGGAGGAGGAGCTGTAGGGGCAGCAGTAGGATGGGCAGTAGTAGCAGGAATAACAGCAGCAATAGCAACATTAGCAATAGCAAAAGGAAAATAAGGGCCATAATTAATCTGATTGAACAACAAAGGCCAAATCTTCATATCCGAATTTCTAGATTTGATGAGATTTTTGAGTTTTTTGAGATTGCCATGTTCAGTTAGCCTGGCAAGCCAGACCTATCAAGATGTTAGGTCTGGGAACTCACAGCAATGAATGGCTGTGGCTGAGTGAGTCCCATGCGTTTTCCCCATGGTTTTCCCTCCAGCGGAGCAAGTTGATATAAACTTTTGCCGTATGCGGTCGTCAAAACTCTGAACACATCTTCCTGTTTTAAGAATGACTTAAGTGACGTTCTCTTAACTCCAAGTCATCCGAGTCGCGACCAAAGCCGAATCGAAAGACTGCTGTTCGCCAGCTGCATCTTGTTTGTTTTCAAGTATCAGGGAAATCACGGCGCAGAGCCGTCACAACTCTGCCGTCATTGTGTTAAGCCCGCCCACCAACTCTATACACGATGTGATTGGCCTGACCAGAGTTTGGTTTTTCCACTTCGAAAGTCAACGGAGAGTTGCTAGACCACACTTTGCTGCAAAATCATTTTTTCTGCCGCTAGGGTGCGTCTAGATTTCTAGGATAATGTTCAGTATATACTAGTATTGATTATTTAATTGGTTGTATTGTGATTGTAAAAATCTGAAAAATATATCTCTAATTTTTTTTCCTAAACAAAAGTGCTATTTTATAGACAAAGTCATTTCTATGTAAACATTCAATATAGTTACTTTTTCATATACAATTATTTCTGGTTCTTGAATCTGATTGGCTGAGAGCCTTTATTCACCCAGTAACCATTGCTAAGTTGGGGAGATTTAATATTCACCAATATTATTGATCTGCCTTCATTGACACCATCACATGAGAAGTTAATTGAGCTGGACGATGACATGCCGGTTTACTCCAGAGCGGCTATATTTATATATATATATCAACTAAATTATTACAACAAAAATGAATCATCATTGAACTTACTTATTACGTGAGTATGTGTCTGGACAGACGTCCATGACATGCGGAGTCCCTCAAGGCTCGATTCTTGTGCCTTTCCTGTTCAACCTGTATATGCTCCCAATGAGCCAAATAATGAGAGAGAACCAAATTGCTTACCACAGCTACGCAGACGACACACAGCTCTACTTAGCCCTATCGCCTAACGACTACAGCCCCATTGACTCCCTGTGCCAATGAATTGATGAAGTAAACAGTTGGATGTGCCAAAACTTTCTGCAGTTAAACAAAGACAAAACTGAAGTTATTGCGTTTGGAAACAAAGATGAAGTTCTTAAGGTGAATGCATACCTCAACACTAGGGGTCTAACAACTAAAAATCAAGTCAGGAATCTTGGTGTGTCTCTAGAGTCAGACCTTAGTTTCAGTAGTCATGTCAAAGCAATAACTAAATCAGCATACTATCACCTGAAACATAGTTCAAGAACGAGCAGACAATCTGATTAGCTACTTGCTCTACGTTTATTTAAAAGCAAAAAATATTAATAACATGGTTTTGACGGTTATAGAGTTCTAATGACGGTGTTCAACTATAACCGTCACAACCCTTTGTGAATTTACAAAATCTGCTTCACTGTCGCTGTGCTGTCGTCATCGTGTAAAGCCCGCCCCAATGTTTCTGATTGGTGCCGCGATTTCTGCGGACTGGAAATGGGTTTGAATGAGCTCTTTGCCAGACTAACTTTCAGAGCAAATCTAAATTTGCCGGAAGTTGTCTGGGTTTAATTTCCCAGGCTATGGTAAATAAGCAGTAGGCATTAAAAGGTTATGTTAAAAAGACGAGATAAGAATTCACGAATCCGCACACACGGACATACATCTTAGAGTATAAGTTTATCAACTATTCATATTTCTAATAGAAGTATGCACAAAACTTTTCATGGCTCTCTTAGTCCTGAATGATCTGTATCTCTGACCTGAGGGTAAAATACTCTAGTGACTGTGCAATGTGTGAGTGGTGTCAGAAGCTATTTGTGTTACTTTTGTTTTTGTCCTCCTGTTGTAAATACTAATAAGTGATTCCCGCACCCGTCCGATTATTTTACTACTCATTGTTATGATTTTTTTTAGTGTGTTGCGATGAATATTGGGTAGTGATCCAACCCAGGCTGATATGTTAAAGGTGATTACAGACTCAATGAAGCATTTATAGAAGGGTATCAGGACTGACTGGTGAACCTGAAGCCTACGGAGCTTCCTCAAGAAAAAGAGGCGCTGCTGACATTTAGAAAAAATGTTTTCACTGTTTAGTCGGAAATTAAGTTTATGATAAGTACACCAGTCCTCCTTACATTTAGGATTGCTTTTAAAGTATTATTACTGGTATATAAATCATTTAATGGGTTGGGACCTCAATAATATATTGCAGATATGCTCACTGAATATAAACCCAACAGATCACTCAGATCACTAGGATCACATCAGCTAGAAATGCCGAGGGTTCACTCTAAGCATGGAGAGTCTGCTTTTAGCTATTATGCTGGAACCAGCTTCCAGAGTCAAATCCAGATTAAAAACACTTCTGTTTAGCTGTGTATTTACTGAATGAGCACTGTGCCACTGTTCGACTGTTTGTACTGTATTTTATTTAATATTTTTTTTCAAAATAGTTTTAATTATTCTGATTTCTTTTGATTATTTGAATTTCTTCTATGTAAAGCACTTTGAATTACCACTGTGTATGAAATGTGCTATATAAATTAAACTTGCCTTGCCTTGCCTTACTTAAGCTGGACTGTGTCACTATTTTCTTCTAGAAACAAACTGTGATGCATTATTTTCCTGTTATCTCTGTAAATCTGTTTTGTAAATTAAACTATATAAATAAAGGTGACTTGACTTGACCGTTGCACCATTTTCTTCACTCTGCTTGCTGCGATTGTCACGGCGGTCGAGCAAATCCAATTTTTTTTTTTACTGTTGTTGTGTCACGAAATGTTTTTAGGCGAGAAAGTAGTTATTTAGACCTCAAATATGTGACTAATATATAATCATAGTGCTTACAAACTGTTGAGACGCTTTCTCAGATGTGAGCTCCAGGCCATTCAGCGCTCATGTACTCACAGAGAACAGTGTCATCTCGGCCCAACCCGGTATCACGACAAGACGTGAAATAATCACGTTGGTCGACTTTGGAAAACGCGTAGATGTCACGGTTTAACACCCTCAGACGTGAAACTTACAGTTTTGCGTTAACACGTTCCAGTGGAGAAATACCCGAATGTTGACCTATTCTACACGCTATATCGCCGTGAGCTCTGCCATAACGACCTATTTTGGTTTTCATTACATAAACCGAGAAAAATTTCATTTTGTTGTATTGACGATCACTGAGCAATTTTCTATTATTTAATTACTTAAAATTATTTATTATTTTCAAGGTGAAAAACATTCATTTGCCTAGATCCACGCCGCAAAAAACAGACGTCACGATAGTTTATTCAACTACGCTGAACGTAGACGATACGAATAGACAGACAGAGAGACAGATAGATTTACAATTTACGTCAACAAGGACATAATGAACGACACTCGTCTCCATTGTGGAGGTGGAAAAACAAGTTTTTTTTTGTTTTTTTGTAAACAAAGCTTTTTTTTGTTGTAAATTTTAAGTTTTAATTTAAAATGTTTGCGATTTTAATACATGGTTAAATATTTGACCACTTAATATATAGAAGGAATGCATGGAATTATATGAAGTTACAAGTTTGTAAAAGTGTACAAAGAGAATCGCAATGCTGACAAAACTTTTATTTTTTTTTATAAAAGTTGCTGCATAACTTCTGAATTTGAAATAAAAATAGTGAGTAGGCTATGTGTTTGTGGTACAGCCGCGGATCAGTTACGCACTGCAAACGCATGTGAAAGCACTAGCACGTGCTGCTCCTGTATCCACCTTTTTCTGCGCCTGTTCTATTTCCCATGATTCATTGCGTGTTCAACTGACTAAACGGTTTTCTACTTCCTGTTGAAGTATTTGTTTACATAGAATGCTAGCACTCTAGTCCAGACCACTCTTCTATATACAATGATATATTATATAGATCAGTGGCCCAGACATTAGAACAATATCAGTCTACACATGTGTTTTATATTCACGGACGGACATGACCGTTCTGAAAGCGACTTTAAAACTTTCACAGAGATCTTAAAGAGAAACCACAAAGAAACCTTTCTTTAAAGTGAATTTCGTTTTTATTAATTGTATCTTATTAATTTCAAGCAATGTTTCGTCAACCAATTGCCTGATTTTAATAAGAAGTAGACTATATAGTAAACAATATGATCATGACAGAGGCGACAGCGGCAGCGCGCAAACTTTGGTCTCATGAATGAAACTCGGCATAACGTTAGCCTATGCCTAACCTCACAAATATATAGATTCTTTGAAAGCAGAAGTTGATAGGAGTCAAAGGACTAACCAGCCTAACCTTATAGTAGCCTACTGTTATTCTGCAGCAGTCGGATCGATAGAGACTGTCGGATGTTCATTGCTGAATTAGGAGATTGTGCAGTCATGCATCAGCTATCCTTCGGAAGTTATGAAGAAAAGAAAAACGTTCATTTTGTTTTTATCTGTGATTTAAAAAAATAATAATAACGTGTTCAGATCACATTTGATGAATGTGTTTTTTTTTTTCGATTTAGTTTAGCGATGTGGGGATGACACAATCTAAAACACATGGCAAAAAGCATAGACCAGACTCGAACCGGAAGTTGACCAACGGAGTCGTCGTCATGGCAGCGCGCATTGTTTAGAGCAAAGGTGGATACGCACCGCGACACTCACCGCATACGTACTGCACTGCACGGAGCATGTAACGGGCGTCACACGGGCTCAGTGTCACAAACTGATCAAATGCAGTGTTTATGAGCAGGACAGTTAACAAACCATCGTTCCCTAGACAGATGACTTTGGATTAGCTAGGTTTAGATTTGGATTAGAGAACATCTGATTTTCTTTCAGTTTCGATATCACGTCATGCTGCAGCAAGAGGCGTGGCTTAAGGATGCTGTTGTCTCAATGACGCAGAACTGCTGAAGGAGAAGCTCCGCACACAGAGTTATTAATGCTTTTCTAATTTCTCTCTTATTTTCCTAATTGTGATTTAGACAAACTTGAAGAGCTCGACACCTGGTGAGTTTGCGTCTCCTGCTGCAACGGGTTTTATGCAGATGTGTTGATACATTGATAAGGAACATATATTGCGATTGTTTAATGTATTTATTGTTGTTTTAGGAGGTATTTTCCCGCGCTGTGATCGTTCTGCAGTGTGATACAGTAATGGCGACGGGCTCTGAAACTCCTGGTAAGAGGATTTATTAAAGAAAAATAGCGGAGCTCCAATATGTAGGCTACACATTCATTATTGATCTTATGCCTTATACAGAGCCTTATCATCAAAGAGGTCCTAAATTTGAGGTTGGTAGGGGCTTCACATTATTTATTTCTCTGATATGTGCATTTCAAGACGTTTGAAGACCAAAAAAAAAAAAAAAAAAAAAACGATAAGAAATGCTTTAAAACCATGTCAGTGGGCAGTAGATTATTTGTCAATACCTGCTCTCTCCTCATCTCCATCACTCTTTCTGTTTTTTCAGTCTCTTCATCCCTCAGTCTCTTCCCCTCCAAAGGCTAAGCTTTTTTAATGTACTAAAGGCTACAATTTGTATTATATTCTCAATATACATTCATTATTACTGCCTAAAATGATGAAAACGGCTGTGTTAATGTTTCTTGTCCACTCTAACTAATTATTACATTACATCAGTCACGTTATGGGTCTATTTTCTGTTCAAAATGGCGAAATTAGACAAAACTATATTAGTCATTTGTTTAACGTGTATGACCTAAAAAATGTCAAATATGAAATGATCAGTTTAGCTACATCTTATCTCGCACTTGCCTGGAAACTGAAGCGTCGAGTCGCTCGCGCTCAGCAGCGTCTGTGAACATAAAGCCCACCTACTTTGATTTGATTTGTCATCTGAAATATTCTGACATTGACGAGCAGTGACAGACCAATGAGCTCAGATGAACACGAACACACACACACACTCTTCAGGTTCGGACGGGTCCCATAGAGACGCTGTCAGTACCGGAAAGAGAAATGATTAGTTCCTTTACTTCGAGTCTTCGTTCTTTTGTCACGTGACCGCTGGTATCTCGCATTAAATACAACATTAGATTCATATTGACTGCGTCTGAATGTATATTGTTTTATATTTAGGTATTAAAATACAAAACATGTGCAATAAACATTATCTTAAAAATAAAAGTTCCTATTGTCCCTTCACTGGCATTGATACTCTCACTAACAGTAACACATAATTACACAGATAAATCATGATTATATGGATGGTTTGCACTGCAAAACAAAAACAAGGCCATTTTTAAAACAATCGCAATTTCAGTCATTTTAGGCCATAAAAATCACATTATATGTACAGTCAGACTCCATATTTTCTGTCTCTTTCAGAGATGTCCTGTGGTCCAGATGATCCAGAGATCCGGGTTCTTCTGATGGGCAGGAAGGGTTCTGGGAAAAGCTCATCTGGAAACACTATACTGGGAGAAAGAAAGAGGTTTAACATCCACCACGATAAGAAGCAGCATGAGTCTGAAGTGTGTGTGGAAGTAACTCAGAACGGAGAGAAGCAGGTGTGTGTGATTGATTGTCCAGATCTACTGGATCCAGATCTGAATAAAGAGAAGCTGGAGAAGATGAAGGATCAGCTGGTCTCTCGATGTTCAGCAGGTCTCAGTGCAGTTCTGCTCACCGTTCCTCTAGAGGAACCTGTGGAAAACGAGGAGGAGATCCTGGATTATATCAAGCGTTTATTTGGTCCTGAAGTTCAGAAGTACATTATGATTCTGTTCACACATGGAGATAAACTGGGCAAGAATCAGACCATTGAGGAACATCTACAAAATAAAGATCATGCGGATCTCCAGCAACTGGTGACTGAATTTGGAGGAAAGTTTCATTGTTTAAAAAAAAAGAAGACTATAAAAGATCTACTGCAGAAGATTGACGTTTTTGAATGGGAGAAAATGGAGGGAAATATGTCATGAAAAAAATGAAAAGGAGATCAAGCATAGATGTGCCTGATGCCAATTGTAAGTTTTTTTCATGAAGATGTTCTGGATGTGCTGCATCAGACCATTGAGGAACATCTACAAGATCATGAGGATCGCCAGCGACTGGTGACTGAATGTGGAGGAAGGATTCACTGTTTCAATAACAGGAGTAAATCAAACATCAAAGAAAGTCAGAAACAAGAACTACTGCAGAAGATTGAAGAAATGATGACGGAGAACGATGGGAAATATATCATGGAACAGTGGAAGAGGAGTGACAGCAAGGATCTTTTAATCAATTGTAAGTTGTTCTGTTGATCAATTATTTCAATAATACATGATGAGTTGGGCCACAAACATAGCACGAGTGCTGCAGACCAACATGACATCATGACTTTTGCGTAAACATACACGCCACTTTCGAGTCAAGTGGCGTGTTATCCCTACGCATTTTGAGCTATCCGCGTGTATGTTTACGCCATTAACGTCCGAGTGATTCCGCGTGTCTGTACACGCCATAAAATGTACGAGCGAAACGAAGCAAAATGTAGATCTACATCTGGGGAGCGATCTTTTTTTACCTAGGATGGTAAGGGAACAGTCATAAATGCCATTAACCCCAGTGACGGTTAGGTTTAGGGACGGGGTTGAGGTAAGTCATATATTTATATAACGTCAAGTCAACGGCGTTCATAAACACGCTGAAAGGCGATTATGCGTCTTGATAGCACGCCAAAAATGGAAATACGAATTGGCGTGTCATACACACGCTACTTCATGAGATCAGCCTGGGCACTGGCTGGTTACTTCCGGGTTCTGGACTGGCTGCAGTAACGCGTCTCTGTCCATGCGGGGGCGCTCGCGGTCGAGTGCAGAATGAATGGGAGTCAATGGGGTTTCACCCCAATAAATCCACTTTTCTCAGGATGTAATTTTTTGTCAAGTAATTTGAAAGTTGCATTCAAAAGCGAGGGCTAAGATAATACACTCAGCTGAAAACTGCATTTTTAAGTTCACTTATCTGTTCTAAAAATCCGTTAAAAAATGTGATGACGTCACACAATAGCAGAATGCTAGCGTGTCCCGGCCAACAACTGCCTAACCTGTAAGAAATCAAAAGGACATAAGTACTCGTTCATTCGACTTTTGGCCTATAATCTATATTGAACTTGCGGAATCAACAATAAAATCTATGTTAATTTAACGACAAGCAGGTGAAAGAGACACTTTTAGCCGTTTAGCCCAATAGACTCCCATTCATTCTGCTCTCGCCCGCGATCACCCCCAGTGGAATTATAATGGAACTGCAACCAAGGTGATACACAATGGGGCTAATAGGAAGTGCCAAGGCTCTCCGTAAGACGGGTTTTTTTCAGTAAGTTTCACATTCCTGTACCGGCTTTCGTTAGTTAACCGTGTGAGACTGTCTCGTGACATATGCTTGCTCAGATTTGAGGTAGAATTTTCACATTCTCCAACGGGGGTCCTGTTTCCAGATCAGGATGCTCTCTGCACATGTAAGGTCTCTCACTCGCTCTCCCTCTCTGTCGTGTTCGCGCCACATGGACTACAGTCTCTGTCTCACATGCACGCTCGCTCTAGATAACAGGAGATTTTAACTAATTTGTGTTATAACTAGTCAATCACAAATGTGGCTCAACAGTTAGATCTATAGATAAACTCATCTTTCAGGCAGACCGAGATATCGGGGGTGTGGCTTGTGTGAGCGTGTGAAACCAATCAAATGCGTGCCGACATGTGCTCTGCTGCTCTCTCCCGCGCTCTAGTCGTCTCTCACTGATGTCGCGGCTCTCATACATCGTTGTTATTCACACACGACTCATGTCACGAGACAGTCTCACTAAACAAAATCACGGTTAACTAACGCAGTAACGCAGCCTGTTTATGGGGAAGTAACAGTAATCTAATTGCTGTTTTTTCTTTTGTAATCCCTTGTTACTTGAAAAAAGTAATCGGATTACAGTTACGCGCAGTGTTGGGTGTAACTAATTACTAAGTAATTAGTTACTGTAATTTAATTACTTTTCCCTTGAAAATGTAAAGTAAGGGATTACTCGTCATTTATCTGTAATTTAATTACAGTTACTTCTGATGTAATTGAGATAAATACTGTATATAGATCAATCCGATCTCACAGCGATTCGTATGCATTTTATGAGGTGTCTAAATCGTACGACCGCACTCGTACACATTTGTATGAATTATTGTAAAATATGTATGAAAAAAAGTGTGAAATGACATGACATAAAACAATAGTGGGTTTAACATCAAAATGTCTTGTCTGATGTTAAAAAGTGTGTTTTTTTAATGTAACCTTCTCCACCTTGTTCAGTTTAAGGATAATTCATGCGATTTTATAGTATTTATTTGAAAGAATTAAAACAGATTCATGTCTATCCTTGTATTATTCAGCTGGTTGAGATTGATATGGGATTTTGAAAGTAATTAGTAATTAAAAGTAATTAAATACTTTTTAAAGAGAGTAATTTTAAATACAGTAATCTAATTACACTGTTGAAAAGGTAATTAGTAACTAGTAATTAATTACTTTTTTAGAGTAACTTACCCAACACTGGTTACGCGTTACTTCTAACGCGTTACTGCCCATCACTGATTGTGATGCAATCACAGATCGAAATATCTTCAAAATAATCGGGCAGTGAAATAAAATCAAACCGAGATGACGGATAAAAGAATCACATTCATGCTCCGATCTCGGCTTCATCAGCCACATCATCTATATCACCTTTTAGCTTAGTTATCTTTCAAATGAGACCATTTTCACGTTTCTGTGAGCTTCCACAGGCGCTAGACTCATTTTTGACACTGGTAATGGCAATGCATTTAGTATATAGATCTAACCGGAACAAAACTCGCGTCGCATATAAGAGTAAGTCGGACCTTTCACAAGACGCGATGTGGTCCTTTGATCACTTCTGGGTGACCACTCCGTTGACAAAGTGAAATATCCAAGGGGGTAATCCATCAGCCGGAAGCTGAAGCCTCACAGGTAGCATTGTAGCAGAACTTCACCTGCTGTTAGCATCCCATTGACTCCCATTCATTTTGGCGTCAATTTGACAGCGAATAACTTTACATCTGAGGCGTCCAAAGACTTCATTGGTCCATTATTTATTTCTAAAGAAGAAACAAGACAATGTATAGAAGGCTCCATTACCTTGGATCTTACGTTATGGCCCCGTAGAAGCAGTTTTTGTAAAACATAGGCTAACGATTGCGTCAAAACGAATCGACTCTCCGTGGCACAGTTGAGAAATGACTGTATGATCTACATTTTGATATTGTGAAATGGATATTATTAAACTATGTATAAACAGTGATTACTTTATTTCAGGTTCTATTGAAGTTTGAAGATGTGGCACGGCACAGCGGGTACAGCGGGTACAGCGGGCATCACATCTCCAGGAGGCTGGTCGGACATGTTGAGGTGATGCACCCATATAATGAATGCTATAAATCTGGAGGATGAGGATCCTGTTCTAGATTGTAATAGACCACCGATTTTAGGGAAATAATTTGTAGAATGATAGGTCTTGTATCTTCTGAAATAATAAAATGATCAAAATCATAAAACGCCTATTTTTTTCTTTTTGTTTACTATAGCACAGACAACATATACTATAATATTTAACACATTCAGCAGTGTTTTATATCATTTAAAAGGGTTTTCTGTAAAATTACACTGGAATATTGCATATATAACACTGGATATGGGTATGAGCAGAGTTTAGATTTGGTAGGTGGAAATTACATAAAAAAAGGTAATATTCCTCCCTTCAGATTTATTTTAATATGTTGTTTCATTTTTTTATTATATAGAATGAATTCTTTTTTACAGTGTTTTCTGCCATCTAGAGGAAACAAACAGCCATACTTGTCTTGTTTCAAAAATTTATTTAAAATTAAAAATCAAAAAGCACCTCTTTTTTGTGTTTATTACAGCTCAGACAACATAATGTGTATCACTTTTAGCACGGCACTTTATGAAACTGCAAAGGGTTTCTTGAAAAATGACACAAAAACTGTGTATTTAGGACAAAGTATGTGGGAGTGGGAAGCTTTTTAATTTGGGTAGGCCAAATCCAGGCGGAAATCCCCCCAAAATGGCAAGAAGCTTAAATGGCAATTTTGTACTAATTTCATCTGTTAACTCTCACTCATTACATGGCATTAGTGGTTTTAAAGGAATAGGAGTAGGTACACATATTCAAGGGTGTGCAAAGATGGGTGGTGTTTAAGATCATATGTTGTGGGCCATACGTGTGTGTGTGTGTGTGTGTGTGTGTGTGTGTGTGTGTGTGTGTGTGTGTGTGTGTGTGTGTGTGTGTGTGTGTGTGTGAAGCTTTTAGGCTACCAAGTTTGTGCTAGTGAGACCACAAATGCACAGCCCCAGAAGTGTTGTTGACATCATGATCACACTTCATCCATATATACACAGCAAAAACTCCAGAGTTAAAATAACTCTCCTGAGAATTCATTTTAGACCACACTAAAAACTGTTAAAACAAAGGTACATTAAAATCTCAATCTCATGAGCCCAACTTAAACACTGATCACGATAATGGTGACATAAAGGTACAATATGTAGGATTTTTGCAGTAAAATATCCAAAAGCGAGAAAATTGCGATGGTAACCAAGGAAACGGGGCGTGTGAGCAGGGCTGAGGGAGTTTCCAGTCAATGGCGTCATAACCACGTCACCCTCAGTTTCTGCTCATACAACCACAGTAACCATGGCGACAGACGTCGAGAAATGGAGGAAGAGTTTTTTTCTGAGAAGAAAAAAATAAAACAAACTCAGTTTTTGCTATTGTAAATATTGTTACAGATTTGCTCACAACTCACCAGTTTTTATTGTTGTATTGCAGGCATCTCTATTTCCTCCGGGTGTCTCGAGTTCTTCCTCCCTGCAAAATAAAAGCATTGCCTGACCTCTGGTGTGTGTTTATCATGATTGCAGATGTTCAGATCAGACGAGTGTGAATCTTCAGAGTGTGTGCGGCTCAAACTCACCAGCTCTTCTTGCACAGATGATCTGAAGAAGAATCACAGTAGGAGCAGCAAACACTGCCATCTCAACAATACTCACAATCACTGCAGGAAACATGAGAGGAAGAAGAGAAACTGGACATGACTGAAGTCAAGGGTCTTCATCTATCAACAGTTATTGATGAAGCATTTACAGACGGACTGATAGTGTAATGTTAGAAAGCTGTCCGTCTAAATCAACGTGTCGTACCTCTGTATAATGATCCAGCAGTTTCTGATGCCGGATCAGCTGGGGTGATCATGTCTGTTAGTTCTGTTCAACACATAATACATCATCTACACAACATCATCAACACATAATCCTTGAGCTTCACATCACAGAAATGATGAATATGTGCTCACGAGAGTGTTTTCTCACCTGAATACTTGACAGTGTATGTGACTGACGTCTGGAGTTGATTTCTGTGAGTAAGCTGACATCTCCACTCTCTGTTGTTATCTTCATTCAGGAGTGTTGTAGTCAGAGTGATGTTGATGATACAGTGATAGTCAACAAATGAAGATGATGATGATGAAGAAGAAGAAGAAGATGATGATGATGATGATATCTGATATCTGGAGTCTGTCTTCAGATCAACACCAGCTTGATTCACCCACAACAGCTCAACTTCATCAGAACTGACACAATGATTAACTCCCTCATAATGAACCAAATAATCACAGGAGAGTCCAGAATACAACTGACAGGAGAGAGTCACAGAGCGGCCTGGACTGATCTCAGTCTGTGAGGATGAAGATGATGATGATGATGATGGAGACACTGAAACTGAACACAAGACACAAATCACAGACTCTTCAATCTTCATTTAAATTAAAATTTAAAGGGATAATTTTACTGTAAACTGACCATATAATCATAAACTTACCATGAAGAACATGCAGATAAACACGTGCATCAGGTCCTTGTTTTGTGTCGTTTACAAATTGTCTGCAGGTGTAATCTCCATAATCTTCTTCTGTGACGTTCTTGATGTTCAGAGAGCAGTCAGACTCCAGACTCAGTCTCTCATGTCTCTCTGTGTCTTCATTCTTTATCCCTCCAGTAATCAGTCCAACTGCTGCTGAATGTCTGAAGCTGTTAAAGTAGATCCATCTAGTTGATTTGCAGTCAGAAAGAGCATTATTACAGGGCAGACGGACATCTACACCAGAACTGATGAACACATGATCATCTTCCAATCCACTGGTGCCTGAAACACAGTAGATCTCAGTGATCATTATGATATTTATTAATAAATGAAACCATAAACAATACCAGTATAACAAGCAGAAGATTCAAATCAAACAGTATTGAACATTTGTATTTATTTGTACATATGAATAATCATGTACTAATACCTGAATTAATACTTAATTCAACATGATCTAATGATAATTAAAAGCAGAGATGTAAAGTCCAGGTTCAGAAAGTAAAAATCCTCCTCAGTATTTTGTTCAATCGCCTGGATTTGCTAACGATCAGTTTTCCAGCCGGAGAGAGAACTAATTAGTGGAATAAACATATGGGAGGACTTTTACTTTCTGACCCTGGACTTTACATCTCTGATTAAAAGCCTGAACTAATCATGAACCAATGGAGAGTTATCCTGAACTACGACTGAGTCATTATGGATTCACACATCAATAACGGCAGCATTCACTTCATGTTTGATAATTAATGCATTCATCAACATTTATGGATAAACATAATCAAACGGCCTCTTTTAGTAAGGAATAAGAAGTACCCTGACTTTGAAACAAATGTAAATAATTTAATATCATATGCAGCTTTGTCATAAACATTACTGTACAGCACAGGATTAGTTGATGCTCCTCTTCAACCGTAGAAAGCAAACCCTATACTATAGTTCCAGGAAGAAAAGTAAAGAAAGAAAAGTGTATTTGATCTGTGTGTATCAATACACAACTCTGAGATCTACGGAGCCCCTAAAGGGACGTGGTGGTGGAAAAAAAAAAATAGGATGGGAGAATTTTTTTTTCAAAACTTTTGCGTTCCCTCGCAAAACCTGTTGGCAGCTCGGTCAGACACTTCCTGTTTAATGTCCCGCTGGCAGTGTTTCAGAGCTCCGTACGTTAATGGAGCGTTTCATGGTGATTGAACTTGGACTCAAATCTAAAGAAATGCGGTCAGTGTTTAATAAACTCAAGCAGTTCAGTGAAGTTGGCAATATATTCACATGCTATTCGAACTTCCCGGATCAATATTCTTCAGCTAAATGTTGTTAAAACACAGACGACACCTATTTACAATCACAGTAACCTAGACAACGAGCTCCTATTCTCCTCAAAACGAGCTCTGAAACAAGGGGTGCTTCTCAATATCCCTCCTCGTCTCCTCGCTCCTCCGTCCTCCCTCCTATGACCCGGAAACCGATCGAGCTCAGCCATCTTGAAGGACATCTCAATTCTCTAATTGCACCGTGAGGAGTCGAGGATCGAGGAGTGAGGAGGCTTCCTGAGGAGTCGTAAGCGAGGATACATCCTACGCGGAACTGTTATATTGACTAAACGTGACGCACGTGTCAATTCTCCTCCCCCTTCACTTCGGTCACAATCATTTTAATTTATACTTTACCTTTGCATCCATCTCAGATATTTCAACAGTATAGCCTATCTTTATTATTATTTATTATGAATTTATTAAATAACCAAACTTCAACATCATAAGGGCAGATCCTTTTAGCGCTGCTGATGACACTGTGGAGTGACGCTCGAGTCATCAAGTACTCCAATGTATATAAAAAAGCTTTTATTCGATTCCTCTGTCCTCCTTTCCTTTCCTCGCTTCCTTCCCTCGCGTCCTACAGGGGGTGGAGCTGAGACGCAAGGAAAGGAAGCAAGGAAAGGAAACGAGGATGCACAAATAAGAAATGAGAAGCACCCTCTGCCAGCGGGACATTAAACAGGAAGTGTCTGTCCGAGCTGCCAACAGGTTTTGCGTGGGAACGCAAAGTTTCTCGGGGGAACGCAAAAGTTTTGAAAAAAAAAATTCTCCCATCCTAATTTTTTTTCCACCACCACGTCCCTTTAGGGGCTCCGTAGAGATCACAACGTGAATGTGTGCAAGAATAAACTGAGCATGTTCAAATCAACTCTTTCCAGACTAATTCCACTAAATGTGTTTAGAGAAAATACAGATTTCTTTACCTGTGAGAAGTGAAGAGAGAATGATCAGTCCCAGCAGACACAGATCACACTGATCAGACATTTCTGCTTCTGTCCGTTTCTCTCCGTCTTTCTCTTCAGTATATATAGTTACAGCTCCTCCTTTAAACATCATCAGCTCCTCCTCTTCATTATATACAGTTACGGCCCATATGATTCGCACATCGGCAGCCGACCCTGAATATGGGTTGGATCTTTTAATTTTGAACTCTCAAAGTGCACCAGATTGATGAATTTAATAGTAGGCCGAGGTCCACCCACCACAGTTTCACCAAAGATCCCTGTAAGAGACACTGGTATTGCTCTGCCAATGCAGCGTATAGCTTGTTTTTTTGGATGCACCACTGTGGACTATTGTTCAATTGTTCAATTAATAAATGACAATTTTGTACAAATTTCATCTGTTAACTCTCACTTATAACATTGCATTAGTGGTTTTAAAGGAATAGGAGTAGGTATACATATTCAAGGGCGTGCAAAGATGAGTGGTGTTTAAGATCATGTGTTGTGGGCCATACGTGTGTGTGTGTGTGTGTAAAGCTTTTAAGCTACCAAGTTTGTGCTTGTGAAACCACAAATGCACAGCCCCAGAAGTGTTGATGACATCATGATCACACTTCATCTATATTTACACAGCAAAAACTCAGTTAAAATAACTCTCCTGGGAATTCATTTTAGACCACACTAAAAACTGTTAAAACAAAGGTACATTAAAATCTCAATCTCATGAGCCCAACTTAAACACTGATCACTATAATGGTGACTTAACCCTCAGGTGCTCTTCGGTCATTTCTGACCGAAAAATGTTCTGTTTTGAATTTTTAAAAATCACAGCTTCATCGCAATGTTACGAAACTTGGTGACTTTTATGGCATTATGTATGTGAACACAAAAATAAATCGAGGTCATGATCTGAGCATGCTAAGTGGTCGTAAAAAAAATAGTCACACTTGTGCTCTTCAGTCAAAAATGACCGACCCATAGGAAATGAATGGGAAATTGACAAAAACACAAAAACTTAGAGAATTTTTGTGTGTACAATCTACAAATCAGCCACTATGCAGAAAAAAAGTGCTCAGCATTGAAGGGGTGACACTGTAAAACATCAAGAGTGCAAAACAGACACACCCACCAACACACACACACACACACACACACCTTTATACACATACACACACCAATAAATTTTGATTACAAAAAGTATGTTTTGAATTTTTAAAAATCACAGCTTCATCGCAATGTTACGAAACGTCGTGAATTTTATGGCATTATGTATGTAAACACACAAAAAAAAGAGGTCATGATCTGAGCATGCTAAGTGGTCTTAAAAAATTAGTCACACTTGTGGTCTTTGGTTAAAAATGATCCCCATAGGAAATGAATGGGAAATTGTAAAAAAGAGAAAAAGAAAATGTTTTTGTCAATTTTTTTATAAGAAATAGTTTTTGAGATTGTTTCAACTATATATTCAAATCCACCAACAACAACAACAAAAATTGTGTTCATAAACAGCTGGGGAATTCACATGCCTCTCCATATAGACCTGATCTAGTGGTTACACCATGATTCTACGCTTTTTCTCTATACTGTAACCAGATGCTGCTAATTTTCTTCAAAAAAATTTATTCTGAAGGCCTAGACTCTATATTAAACTAAAATACTGCATTAATATTTTTTTGAAAAAAATTATATATATATATATATATATATATATATATAGAGAGAGAGAGAGAGAGAGAGAGAAATATATATATTTCCATGGCAAAAATAAACGATAAATATTGCATAAATATTAATAAATTCAATTAAATTGTCTCAAAATACTAAATTAAAAAGAATAAATATTATAGAACAAAAATAAATTGCATTGGTTTTACTGGAATGGAGAAAGATTCATTTTTAGGTGTCCGGTCACTTTTGACCAGGAAGATAACAAGTGTGACTCCGAAACGAAGAGCACCTGAGGGTTAAAGGTACAATATGTAGGATTTTTGCAGTAAAATATCCAAAAACGAGAAAATTGCGATGGTAACCAAGGAAAATTGCGATGGTAACCAATGGCGTCATATCCACGTTACCCTCAGTTTCTGCTCATACAGTCGTAGTAACCATGACGACAGACGTGGAGAACTGTTCAATTCTGGGAAGTGGGAGAAGACAAAGTGGAGAAATATATGTAGCAGGACGCTCACGCTGTTGTTGTTTTGTTCAAACATTATGAACTTGGCAAGCAAACTAGTCTTATATAGCCAACAAACAACCTAACTAACAACATTCAACACACTCAAAAGCCGTTTAGTGAGAGCAAATGAAACAGTGCTTCATTAATGTTACCTTAAGTTTCATTTGTGTAATAAATTGACCTGTGTGAGTAATTCAGCACCTGTGTGTCGTTTGTTAAAAGGAAATGTCCTTATTACCTTATATCTGCGGGACTGTGGCGCTGGTACATGTCACTCATTTGCAATTGCACCCTGCATCCTGAAAAACATCAATGTATTCACTAATCAATAAAAGATCCATCAGCTTGACGACAAGATCCATAATTCTGCTTAATGCTTTGCATCATAAATGTACGCCTATACACCTTTGCGTCACCAATATACACCAATAATGTTATTGTAAGAGGTTAGCGACCCCTGGTGGCAAAACATCCAACATATTGTACCTTTAAAAATTTTCTCCTTGAGTGATTCTGCTTGTTAACATCAGGTGTCTTCAATATTGGTCAATCTTGGTCAAAAGATTAGAAATATTTTAGAAAAAGATATTTGATTAAAAAAAACAGACTATAAAGTGATGTCCCTCAGTCTGAACTCAACCCCGTCACGCCAACTATTCTCTGCCTATAATAATTTAGACTCCGCCCAATATGTGACCCAATATATAACATCATTCAGGTCTTTTTAACAGTGTTGCATAAGATGGTAAGTAGTGTGATACTTTTCATTAATATTTTTGAGGAATGTTATACCGGGGTATAACTCAACCCGGTCTGCAAATCCATGTAATATAGCTATGCGTGTAATGCGCGAATCGGTGGGCGGGGCTAAACCGGCCGTGTTGAAGTAGGCGTTGATCTTCTTCTGCGGGGGTGGTGTTTTATCCTCTTTGACGTCATACTTCCCCACTTTGAAAAACGAGTCGTTTGCTGAGGCTGGTGTCAATAAAAGCTTTTTATTGGACTAACAAGGACGTTTTCAGTTCTGAAACTTACAGGATATTCTTATAATATGATGACCTCTTAGATGTCAAAAGCTCAAGGAATTTTGCAGTTGATATTTACACTGCGTGTCTAGGAGTTTAACACTCTTTCTGATTTTTTGTCATCTTTCTGATTTTTACCATTTTCTGGTTCTTGTATTAAGATTTACAGTGGTACAGGAGCTTCCCCAGTTAAGCATAATTTAATGTAACGGAGTGTAATAGTGTTGAATAAATGGGAACAGCGCCATCTGTGGGCAAACGAGGCCAGATAGTGCCGCCCATATGTTTAGATGTCTGTTAAAGATCACTGCATCTGCTGTTTGCTAACATCTGATAGACATCTTTAAGATGTCAGTTTAACATACATTCTAAGGCCGGATTCACAAATGGCGCCTAAAAATGAGTAGAAAATGTTGGGCGCGCCGCGCTAGGGCGGTAGCGCTCTGGTTGGTTCTGGTCACATGACCTACTGTGCGCTTATGGTGCGCTTGCGGTGTTCTGAAAAGTTGAGATATTTTTATCTCGATGCGGCGCGGACACGCTTGGAAAAAACTAGCGTGCCGCACCTCAACCGCGTCGCTTCCATTATGAGTGCGCATAAGACGCAATATGTGAACAGGCCTTAAATCATTACATCTTAAACACATCTTCTAAAAGTCTATTTGACATCTGACAGGATTGCAGATGAGCAAATACTCTTCCAGATGTAAACACACTCATCAAATAGACATCTCCGGGATGTACGTGTGCTATCAGGGTGATGGTAATTAACGTGTGGAATGGGGACCGCCAACAGCAGAACTAACAAGATATGAGTTGCACGGTTTGAGCAGTCGGGTGTATTAAACACATAAATTCTTGATTTGTTGTGTATTTTTCCTGCAATGAACTCCTTAGGGAACTTGTGTTTGGCGTCGAATTTGTTACTTGTTTTGACTTTGTATTATGTGGCACAATCGTTATTATCTTGTGCATTGTCTTGAGTTTTATACAGAACTGATTTACACTCTATGAATTGGATCCTTTATTTCCACGTTTTGTTTTCTCATATGTTTGTTTTATGGATTATTTGTTTTATTCATGTAGAATTGTGCATGTTCACCACTAGGTAGGGATGTTTATCTTTATATTGAATTGAATTGTTCTATTTTTCATTGAGTGAATTGTGATTAGTTCATTGAAGATGTTTATTATAACTTCTCACCTTCAAAAATTATCCAATACAATACACAATCACAAAGCTACGATATTTCATGACTTTAAAATAAACCCGGAACTAATGAGACATGCTGTGAAACTGATTTACTCTCTATGCATTGGATCTCATATTTCCACGTTTTCTTTCCTTATTGTGCAAACCACCCAGGCAAAACCATCACATTAGCCTAGTTAAAGTTTAAAGGTTATTTTAAACAGTCATTGAAATACAATTAAAAAATCAGTGTTGGGTGTGATGCAATTCTAACTTATTAATTAATTAATTGATTAATTAATTCATTCATTAATGTAATTTAATTATTTTTTATTCTAATAGTAAAATAAGGAATTACTCGAAAAAAAATGGTACAGTAATCATATTACACTGCTGAAGATGTAAGTAACTTTTAGTAGAATAAAGTAAAAATACGTGAATACAGTCTTATGTAGAAGTGTTTTTTTAATAAGGATATTGTCGAACTTCCTCATGGACCTAAACATAATAGTAGCTTTTTACTTTTATCTGAGGTTTCAACAAAAGCATATTTCCCATATGCGCATGCGTTGGATGCCGATGACGTCACCGGTCGCGCGCGCCGTGTCTTGAGTTTCAGCGTCGAGTCTTCTGAGGTGAGGAGAGCAGTTCACGGTATTTCTCATCTTTACACACCCATCACACAC